GGGGGGGGGGGGGGGGGGGGGGTTTCGACGTCCCTCAACAAATAAATAAAATAATAAAAAAAAGATAGAGAAAAGTGTAACCAAACAACGTAGTCTTCCTCTTGCACCCCTCTTATTTTTACTTCAGCCATCGATATTCTTCACACTGAGCGGAAAAGTCAGGGAAGTTCCCAAGAAATTACTGAGTATTTTCCTATTTTTAAAAAAAAAAAAAAAAAAAAAAAAAAAAAAAAAACATCATGACACGAAGTCTGCAGCGTTGCAACCTGTTTTCATTAGGGCCACCACACAGGGCCGGACTTAAGATTTTGCTGCCCCTGCATTTTGGAATTGATAACCTTCAAAAAGGAATAGAAATTCTTTTTAAAATGATATATTTTTTTAAATCCACCATTCGTGACGTCACCATAAGAAGCCACCATAGGCCGCCAAGTCGGTAGTAATTTAAATTGGAAAATCCAATTTTAATTGTGATTTTGAACATTTTTAATTTTGCTGAATTTAAAATTTTAACAAAATAAAAATAAAGATCAGTAAACTGTAAAAAAATATATATTTTACCACATTAAACGTGACAGATTTTGTTGTATCATTTTAATCACCTACCAAAGATTACCATAAGAGAGAAGAATATTTCTGTCAATAAAAAATGTCCATCTCCTTTTCATAGCGGCCCCGCTGGCAAGTCATCAACCATGAAAATATTTGGGTTGGTGCGCTTTTCGACACGGGTGAATTGGAGCGCATGCGCCAAGTGTCTGCCACCAGTTGCACCGGGTTTAAAATCACTCCGCCACGATCCGGCCGTCTTTATCCGTCGCGCGTTGCGTGTCTTAGTCAGCAGGAGTTGTATCATTTCGTTCGCAGGCGTTGCATCCTTCGGTATCGAGGTTCTTCAACTCGCTTTTTAATCCGGAAGCCGGGCCAGTTCTGATTTTTGTTCTTGATTTTTCCCCGTTTTCGTAGGGCGCGGGCGCTGCGGTCAAATGACTTGATTATTCCCGGAGGATCCCAGTTCGGACCAGGAGTATTTCCGTTGCTACAATTATCAGGTACATGTCCCTGTTTTTTTTATTTTTACTTTATTTTTAACTCGGATTCATGCGATGAAGAATTTGCACGAGCATTTTCTATTGCCTCGTCTGAACGTGCCTAAATAGTTGTTTTCGCAATATTTTTCCTAATTTTTTCTGACATGGAAAATAGAATAAAAATATATTTAAAAGTGAAAAAGTGCATCGCCTAGTGACGTCATCTGGCGGCATTTCTGATTTAAACCTATGCATTCTTACATTTTTTACATTACATTTTTTTACATTTTTTTTATGCATTGGCCGGAGCGTGCCATCATTTGCACATGAATAGATGTGTGGAGATAAGGCGATGATATGGATCGATCATTTCTTCAAAAACGCATTTGACTGGGACGTCATCCCATCGGGGGGCGGAAAAAGACAATGCATGGATCTCCTTCCGCGATTTGACTTGCTGAAGTAGCAAAAATTCAACTTTACCTCTTAAGAAGATTATCGGTGGCGAAGGGGTCTAAAGACTGCTCAACGATACTATAGTTCGAGTTCCGAACCGCAATGAGCCCACTCGTGTTTTGGCGCGTATACGTAGTATACCGCCTTTGCGATCGTTTCGACCCCCCACTCGATACAATAACCGAGTCCCTTAGTTCCTTACCGATAAGTGACTACCGCGAACTTCTGAGATTTTCCAAAGCGTGTAAAAAGTTTATTTATCCGTCAATAATTACGAGGGCTGTCCCAAAAGAAACCGGACTTTTGTCATAGAAGGCGAACCGAGAGTCGTAATGAAGTTTTCTTGGGCTTGTTTGAAAGCTGATAAGCTACTGGAGATGCTTCTTTTTACAGAATGCAAAAAAATTCGTCTTGGTAAGGAAACTACACGCTTTGGATTAAAGGAAAGTCAAACTCGAGTTGCGATTTTTATCTTTATTTCAAGAAAAATTTAGATACAACTTTAAAAAAAAACCCAGGTTTTAAGTTAAAAACTTCGTTGCTCTCTTATTCAAATGCTTATAAATGAGGAAATTAACATTTTAAGCAGCTTACCAAGTTATCACCTATCCCCTTCAAAATACTCGCCAGCTTTGTCGATGCATTTTTGCCACCGTCTCTTCAATTGGGAGAAACACTATTGGAAATCCCCAGGTTTGAATGATCGCAATTCCTTCAAGGTGAAACTGTCAATCGCGAATATTATAATAAAGTTCTGAGATGATTACGCGAAAATGTCCGCAGAAAAGGCCCGAGCTTTGGAGAGAGAATTCCTGGTTTCTGCGTCACGATAATGCACCTGATCCCTCCAAATTCGCGAATTTTGTGCAAAGAATGCCATGAGTGTCCCTCCTCATCCCCCTTATTCACCTGACCTGGCTCCGTGTGATTTTTTCTTATTTCCACGACTTAAATCTACCTTGAAAGGTCGACGTTTTCAAACCATTCCGAAGATTCAAGAGAACCACCTTGAAGAAACATTCAAACCTGAGGATTTCCACCAGTGTTTCTCCCAATTGAAGAAACGGTGGCAAAAATGCATCGACAAAGCTGGCGAGTATTTTGAAGGGGATAGGTGATAACTTGGTAAGCTGCTTAAAATGTTAATTTCCTCATTTATAAGCATTTGAATAAGAGAGCAACAAAGTTTTTAACTCAAAACCTGGGTTTTTTTAAAGTTGTATCTAAATTTTTCTTGAAATAAAGACAAAAATCGCAACTCGAGTTTGACTTTCCTTTATTCCAAAGCGTGTAGTTTCCTTATCAAGACGAATTTTTGCATTCTGTAAAAACAAGCATCTTCAGTACCTTATCAGCTTTCAAACAAGCCCAAGAAAACTTCATTACAACGCTCGGTTCGCCTTCTATGACAAAAGTCCGGTTTCTTTTGGGACAGCCCTCAGTCAGATCTAATTACTTTCACTCGATTACCCATTTCACCGTCACGCTGGGATTCACCAAATTTTAAAAAAAAAATTGTTTCACGTGTATTTAACAATTTTTTCCTTACTCTCCGTTAAAACACGAATAAAAAGAGGCCTCATTCATAAAAATCGGCTGCATAGAAGAGAAGTTACAATATTCGAAATCCGAAGGAATCCTTAAAACCTCGATTTCTCTAAACAAAAAATAAAATGAAGGGAAAAAAAGAAATGTATAGATTACAATTAAATATATTTGACCTCAGAATTTGACAAGCAATTTAATTATATAACGGAGAAAAAATTGGGAGAAATTACAAAAAATGCGCGTCTTGCAAGGGCTTCCTTGTAAGAATTTTGACTTGAAGACAGAGTTGAATAGCAGCGCAGTACTCCATACAATACAGGGTGTGCCTGAACGAACATTTTTTTTGTCAAAATCGAAAATTCCTTATATTTTTTTAACTACAGCGTCTCTTGAGTCGTTTAAGCCAAAAAAAATTCTGTCAAGATTCTGGATTGTAAAGGCGCTTTAAAAGTATTTTGGGGCTATAATAGCAAAATCACCGGTGGTAAATCCCGTTATATTATTAAAAAGAAATTGACTCCATAGTTTAATGCCTTAGTTTCTTGAATACGATTATTTTAAGCACTCAAACATTTATACCACCAATTTTAGCCATGGGGTGATTTCCTGAGAGCCGATAATATCACGAATTTCTCATAGAACCTTTCAAAAATGGCTTGCTTTTTGGGCAGTCGATTGGGTCATTGAACCAGGATTTAAATGGAAGCTGATAATAACACTCTGCTAAAGCTCTGAGAAAAATTTTGAGATAAGTATACGAACGGTTTGTAAATAACGAGGAGAGGCAGGCAAAGCGGCTAAAATCCGATCTAATTTTTGTCGTTATTCTGTTAAATGATGTTGTCGCGGACTGCTAACTGTCTCCACACATGGTTTCTGTTCAGCATATCGATACATAAGTACTTACAAACGTAGAATCTAATTTTTTACGTCAGGGAGTCGACTCATTTAGATTTTTTCGATTTTATACGGGAAATTGATGGTTTTTCGGGATTGAAATTATTAATGTTTCATGCAAAATAAATGCACCCAAAATGACTACAGCATATTGATTTTTACACATTTGCATTCATGAAATAGGATGGTAAATTCAACGAGTGGGTGCATCGACCTGGTATATCAAGTTTCTGCAATTTTTTACGGCAAATCAGTAGATTTTCGGGATGTAGATTGCTTACTTTCAATTCATGAATGAATAAAGCATGGACATGGTTGAACTTCATTGCATGGAAATACGTTTAAAATAACAAAATCAAGATTTATTTAATGCAATTGCATTTATATCGAGTCAATTTCTTTTCAATAATGTAACGGGATTTATAATAACGGTGATTTGGGTATTTTAGCCCCAAAATACCTTTAAATCGACTTTATCTTTCAGGAGCTCGACAGAATTTTTCCTTTCTTCGCTTAAATTATTCCGGAGCACTTTTCTTCAAGAATCTTATAAGATTTTGCTTGAGGCAGATCAAAAAACTTAAACCTGGCTTTCTACATTCACAATACACGGTCTCGTCAAGGTGCGTCGTTGACCTCGCAGTGTTAGATCGTGAATTCTCTTGTTGTGCTGCTTGCCTATTTTGAAATCTCTAAAAATGAAGACTAAAGGGGTTGATATGTGCGAGTTAATGACGCGCCTTCGCAACACATTGTGTTGGAGTTTACTGCTTGTATTTCTTATACTTTCATCACATATAAATTTCTCTGATGATGGTTTTGTTTTATTCTCTCTGATTGCATATTAGTAGGTAATCATATTTTCATTTCCTCCCCCTTTCCTTTTTCCCTTTCTGTAGCATCTGTATCCATTTACAATTGTTATTTTAAAATAGCTTTCCCCTAGTATACAATTGATGCTTTAAACGGAATCGGTTGTTTTAATGACATTTCCGGCTAAATCATGGGTTTTCCCAGGAAGGCAGCCTCTCGTCCCTCCCGGACTCTATTGTTGCCAGATAAGTTGCTTTTTTAGCACTTTTTCCAATCCAAATCCATGTAAAATATTCATATTTATCGCACAATCTGACAACCTCTCGAGTGAAATAGAAAAAGGTATATAGAATCTCTGAAAGTCTGAATCCTTCGAAGTTTATATTAATGAAGATGAAGATAAAGATAAAGATATTAAAGGTTCATAAACATGTTTCCTAACAGGTTTTGTCAAATTATTGTTCTTGAGGACAAAAATTTCGTCCGTTTTGACGTATCGTGTACGAATAAAGCACAATTGACCTGTTTTCACCCGATAAATAGTCGGTAGCGCCCTCCAGAATGGCCCATCTACTGTAATGTCGTAAAAGTAAGTATGGATAGGTACGGATAGTCAATCCTTGTAAATTTTGCCGAAGTACGACCTCAAGGACCAAAATTTCGTCAAAAAATTAAGAAAATACCTTTTAAACCTTTAAATAAAAACCTTTCAGAAGCTTTAGTCAACAAATTTTAAATTGAAAATTTGATATCACTTGGAAAAGTGGAAAAATAATTCAGGTTTTCTGTTTAAAATATAGCTCACTATTGAAGGAACTCCTTTCAGGCCGTCCAATTAATTTTCAATTAGATCCTTTTCCACGTATGATCTAACAAATTACAAAGAGAGGCTTGGAGGAAAAGGCGCATAAGCGCAGTTTTTTAAAAAAAAAATTGAGATATTAATGATTTCGAGCAAAACTGGTCTTAATTCGTATGCAAACCTCCCACCGGGGGGTCCGGGGAAAACAATTTCAGGATTTTAACCCCGTAAAACCTCACTTTTTAACGATTTCAGTCATGAAAAATGATAAGAAGCTCTCCACTATTTTCCCCTCAAAAAGACCTTAAAAAACCGTTCATACAAGACCAAATGGAATGTTGTGTTTTAAGTATGAGATGGAAAAAATCCACTAACTTCCGGAAGAAAAAATGAGGTAGGTAGACTCTCCAATTCCTTACATTAAAAAATGTTGATCAAATTACTATGGCTCTAAAGAAAATTCTGTGAATTCTTTCATAAAATGAAATGACTATCGCAAAATCCT